CGGTGCCCCTCACCTGGCGCAGCTGGGCCAGGTCGGATTTGTTGCCCACGAGCACGGCGGGCGTGTCGTCGGTGCGGCGCACGCGGTAGATGAGCTGCCGGAACTCGCGCACCTCGTGGAAGCTGCGCCGGTCGGTGATGGAGTAGCAGATGATGAACCCCTCCCCGGCCCGCATGTACTGGTCCCTCATGGCCGTGAACTCCGCCTGCAACGGCGTCCCCACCAAGGTCAGCCCCGGGAGGGACTGGGACACCCTGGGAGGGGATGGGACACCCTGGGACACCCTGGGAGGGGATGGGACACCCTGGGACGGGATGGGACATCCCAGGAGGGGATGGGACACTCCAGGAGGGACTGGGACACCCTGGGATGGGACTAGGACACCCTGGGAGGGGACTAGGACACCCTGGGAGGGGACTGGAATATCCCAGGAGGGACCAGGACACCCTGGGAGGGGATGGGACACCCTGGGATTGGACTGGGACACCCTGGGAGGGGATGGGACACCCTGGGATGGGACTGGGACACCCTAGGAAGGGACTGGGACACCCTGGGAGGGGATGGGACACCCTGGGACGGGATGGGACACCCTGGGAAGGGATGGGACACCCTGGGAAGGGATGGGACACCCTGGGACGGGATGGGACATCCTGGGAAGGGATGGGACACCCCAGGAGGGACTGGGACACCCTGGGATGGGACTAGGACACCCTGGGAGGGGACTGGAATATCCCAGGAGGGACCAGGACACCCTGGGAGGGGACAGGACGTCCCAGGAGGGACTGGGACACCCTGGGAGGGGACTGGGACATCCCAGGAGGGACTGGGACACCCTGGGAGGGGCCAAGACATCCCAGGAGGGACTGGGACACTCCTGGAGGGACTGGGACACCCCTGGAGGGACTGGGACACCCTGGGAGGAACTGGGACACCCTGGGAAGGGACTGGGATGCCCCAGGAAGGGCCGGGACAGCCCAGGAGGGACCAGGACATCCTGGGACAGGACCAGGACACCCTGGGAGGAACTGGGACACCCCAGGAGGGACTGGGACACCCTGGGAAGGGACTGGGACACCCTGGGAGGGACTGGGACACCCTGGGAGGGACTGGGACACCCTGGGAAGGGACTGGGACACCCCGGGAGGGACTGGGACACCCTGGGATGGGACTGGGACACCCTGGGATGGGACTGGGACACCCTGGGAAGGGACTGGGACACCCTGGGAGGGACTGGGACACCCTGGGAAGGGACTGGGACACCCCGGGAGGGACTGGGACACCCTGGGAAGGGACTGGGACACCCCGGGAGGGACTGGGACACCCTGGGAAGGGACTGGGACACCCCGGGAGGGACTGGGACACCCTGGGAAGGGACTGGGACACCCCGGGAGGGACTGGGACACCCCGGGAGGGACTGGGACACCCTGGGATGGGACTGGGACACCCCAAGAGGGACTGGGACACCCTGGGAAGGGCCAGGACATCCCAGGAAGGACCAGAACACCCTGGGACAGGACTGGGACACCCTGGGAGGAACCGGGACAGCCCAGGAGGGACTGGGGCACACCAGGAAGGGCCGGGACAGCCCAGGAAGGGCTGGGACACCCCAGGAGGGGCCAGGACACCCTGGGAAGAACCAGGATATCCCAGGAGGGACTGGGACACCCCAGGAAGGGCCGGGACAGCCCGGAGGGCCGGGGCCAATCCCACCCCACGTGCATTTGGGGACAGAAACCCCCCTGGCCTGGGATGTCCCGGGGGTCCCACCGGCCCCTGGCAGGCACAAAGCCAGGCCTGGGGGCAGGAGCAGAGCTCCAAAACCCCGTTTTTGGGCTCCAAAATTGATCTGTGTCCCTGCCCCTCTCCCTGCAGCCCCCCAGGACCCCCCGTACCTGCCCCGCCGTGTCCAGGATGTCCAGGTTGGCGGGCTCGTCGTCGATGCGGATCCGGATCTTGTAGGCGTCCTCTGGGCGTGCGGGGAACCCGGGAATGGTTCGGGAATGATTCGGGAATGGTTTGGGAATGGTTTGGGAATAACCGTCAGTCCCAGAGGGAACTGGCACCAAACCCACCCCACAGCCCCGGATTGCCTCAGGCTGGGCTCAGGAGGAGCCAAACCTGCCATTTCTGCTGGATTTAACCCCCTGGGCTGAAATCGTGGGGTTTGTGTCCCATTCCCTGGGAATCCACCCGGGGGAGCCCAGACAGGAACAGCTATTGAGCTGTTTATTGAGTTATTTATTGATCTATTTATTGAGCTATTTATTGATCTGTTTATTGATCTATTTATTGAGTTATTTATTGAGCTATTTATTGAGCTATTTATTGAGCTATCTATTGAGCTATTTATTGATCTGTTTATTGATCTATTTATTGAGTTATTTATTGAGCTATTTATTGATCTATTTATTGAGCTATTTATTGAGCTGTTTATTGAGCTATTTATTGAGCTGTTTATTGAGCTATTTATTGAGCTATTTATTGATCTATTTATTGAGCTACTCATTGATCTATTTATTGATCTATTTATTGATCTAATTATTGATCTATTTATTGATCTATTTATTGAGGTATTTATTGAGGTATTTATTGAGCTATTTATTGAGCTATTTATTGATCTAATTATTGAGTTATTTATTGAGCTATTTATTGAGCTATTTATTGAGCTATTTATTGAGCTATTTATTGATCTGTTTATTGAGCTATTTATTGAGCTATTTATTGAGCTATTCATTGATCTATTTATTGAGCTATTTATTGAGCTATTTATTGAGCTGTTTATTGAGCTATTTATTGATCTATTTATTGAGCTATTCATTGATCTATTTATTGAGCTGTTTATTGAGCTATTCATTGATCTCTCCATCCATCACAGTTTATTGTTCTCCAGGCCAGGGAAGGTCTGTGGCTCCAGGGAGGAACTGGCCACCACCCACCGCTGGTTTCTTAGGAGACATTATAATGTGGATCAATAACAGAAATGAAATATTACAGGGGAAAAGAATTATGAAATGCTATACATGAAAATAATTATGAAATACTATATGTGAAAATAATTATTAAATAGTATATGTGAAAATAATTATTAAATACTATATGTGAAAATAATTATTAAACACTATATGTGGAAAATAATTATTAATAGTATATGTGAAAATAATTATTAAATAGCATATGTGAAAATAATTATGAAAGACTACATGTGAAAATAATTATTAAATACTACTTGTGAAAATAATTATTAAATATTACATGTGAAAATAATTACTAGATATTATATGTGAAAATAATTATTAGATATTATATGTGAAAATAATTATGAAAGACTATATGTGACAATATTTATGAAATACTATATATAAATATTCTATATATGAATAGGCTATATAGAAATATTCTGGCTGTAAGTATATAAATATTCTGCCTATAAGTATATATTCTTCTATAAGTACATGAATATTCTATCTATAAATGTATAGATATTCTGCCTGTAAATATATAAATAGTCTGGCTGTAAATATATAAACATTCTGTCTAGAAATACATAAATATTCTGTCTATAAATATATATTCTGTCTATCAATATATATTCTGTCTATCAATATATATTTTGCCCATATTAAATATTCTATCTATAAATATATATTTTG